GGCCCGGCGCCGGGGAGGACTGGTCCGCCCGGTACAGGTGGCCGCTGTCCGACAAGCAGCCTGTTAGGAAGAGGAGCCCCCTCAGACACTGGAGCCGGGGAGCTGGGGTGCCCTGGGCTGCGAGACCCTGGGCGCGTGGAAAACCGCGTCGGGGCTGCACGAAGCTCTCGCTGTTTTGTTTTTCTTCTTCTTCTTCTTTTTTTAAAAAGCCGGAAAGCACTACACACGTGCGAGGGTCGCTGTTCTGGACCCTGTGGCCCCCGAGGAGGAGAAGGCCTGGCTGGGGGTGTCGGTGCAGTGGGCAGCCGGGCCTGAAACTCCCCCGTGTGGTCGTTCCACGTTACATAAACTCTGGTGGTGCCTTCTCCGCGTCTCTGGCCATCCTGCCCTAGGGACACTCCCTCCTGGGAGAAGGCTGCAAAAGCCTGGGCCCCGGCGGGCACCAGGGGAGCCTCGTACGCTGCCTGGAGGTAACTTCGAGCTCCCACTGCCCACAGCAGGAGAGCCCCAGGAAGAGGCTGGGGAAGGAGGGCTTATGCTCTGGCCACACCATCCCTGCGAGGCCTCGGGGAGTAGGGGGAGAGGAACCCCCCACCCCCACCCCACCCCACCCCCAGTTCCATTCACTCATGAGCCACAGGCAAGAAAAAGGAAAGAGAAAGTAGCCACTTGCCTTTGTTCTTAATGGCAAAGATGGAGCTGCAAGCCCCCTGGCCAGGAAAAGGGGGGGGGGGGTAGTTTTCGTGGGACAACAGAAACCGGCTAAAAGCTTCCTTTCCTGTCATCTGTGAGGCCTGGGAAACGGGGGGCTTGCCCCTCACTGCTTCACTGAGTTGCTGCAGGAAGGAAAGATTGTCATCTTACCTCCAGATGCATAGGCTTCTGCGAGGAGCAGGTTACTGAGGAGCAGTGTTTGCAGCCAGGCCAACAGCATCCTCACCGCCTTCATCTTGCAGGTGATTGACCAGTTGGGGTCCCCTTGGTGGCAGTGGAAGCCTCGCGGTCCCAGCCTTGCAGCCAGACCTGCCCTTGTTATGCTCTTCTGGTAAACAGCCTCTCTTTAGAACTGGGAGCTTCCCAGCTCGCTTGCTGCAGGGAGGTGCTTTTATTTTCGCTGAAAGGCGCCCCCTGGCGCCCTATGCCATGCAAGATCACTAACCCTGAGCCAAAAGAGGAAGGAGCCCCGCCAAGGAAAGAGAGGCAGCGAAATTCAGCCTGTCCTCCGCAGGGAATCCGTCTGAGACCTGCATCGGCTGCATCCGCAGGGCTCCTCACCTCCCCTGCTTCCCTCTGTGAGGGTACAGCAAGAGCAATTCTGTCAGGAGGCGTTATAGGGGTGGGGGTGGGGGGAGGTCTGGAAGTATAGCCCCACCCAGGGAAAACAACTTAGGGAGGACATGCTAGCTTCAACCAAGAGGGACTCAAAACCACACAGAGGGCACAAATAACAGTATCCAGGTAGAAGTAACTCTTTATATCCCTTCATATACATATACATATACATCATATACATATATGTTTGTATAATTGATTTCAGAGAGGAAGGGAGAGATAGAAACGTCAATGGTGAGAGAGAATCATTGATCGGCTGCCTCCTACACGCCCCCCCTACTGGGGATCAAGCCCACAACCCCAGGCATGTGCCCTGACTGGGAATTGAACCCAGGACTTCTTGGTCCATGGGACAATGGTCAATCCACTGAGCTATACGCCTTATAAAAGAAAAAGGGCCTTTGTGGGTTATACATGTTTATGAAGAGTAACTTCTTTTAAAAAAAAAACAGTATATCTTTGTCAGGTTCAGATCAGTCATATTCCTTTGCTTATATTTGGATTTTGGGGTGTCATATATAGTAGGAATACAGAAGGGGTCTTTTTTATTTATTTATTTTTTTTATTTTTTTCAGAAGGGGTCTTTTTAGTTGAAACTAAAGGAAGGGGCTGAGGAAGGAGGGCTGTGCTCTGGCCACACCATCCATGCAAAGCCTCTATAAAGAAGACTGAGGGAGTAGGGGAGATGAATCCCCAGTTCCATCCACTCATGAGCCACAGACAAGGGAAGGGAAAGTGGTTACCTGCCTTTGTTCTTTTTTTCAAAATCCTATATAATAAAAGGCAAATATGCAAATTGTCCACTTGGGAGTTTGACCGACCGGGAGTTCGACCGCTCGCTATGATGTGTGCTGACCACCAGGGGGTGGCATGGAATGAAAGAAGGCCCTAATCAGCCGTGATTGCCGGCCAGGCCTAGGGACCCTACCTTTGCACAAATTTCATGCACCAGGCCTCTAGTGTGTGTGTGTGTGTGTGTATGTGTGTGTGTGTATTTCAGAGAGGAAGGGAGAGAGTGAGAGAGAGAAACATCAATGATGAGAGGAAATCATTGATTGACTGCCTCTTCCACACCCCTTACTGGGGATCATGCCCTCAACCTGGGCATGTGCCCAAGACCAGAATCGAACTCAGGACCCTTCAATCCGCAGACCAACACTCTATCCACTGAGCCAAACCAGCTAGGGTCTTGCCTTTGTCCTTAATGGCAAAGATGGAGCTGCATAATATCTCCATGTTATGCAAATATTGAGGCATTTGTGCAGCTGTACTTAGTAGTCTGTCCTTCTAGTTCTGAATTCATATAAAGGAAGTTAAATGTTTTCTCTCCCCCCTTCCCCCACCCTATGGGAAATCCATTTGCAGTGATTTATATCCATCATTATACCTCTCCACATCCTTATGAGTTAGGCCTTTTGGAGTTAGGACAGTGGTTCCCAATGTGAGGCACATGCCCCATGGGGGGGGGGCAATTTGATTTTTAAGGGGGGCAATTTGAGAATGAGTTATTAACTGAATTTTTTGCATTTCCTATGGTTCTAGGGGACTCATATATAGTATATAAACATATATTGTGACATATTTATGCATTTCAGTTCTCTATAATATGTTTTGAAACTTTATTTGCTATTTTTTAATATCACTTCATATTATTATTTTTTTAAACAATTTCTTGGTGATTTCTTCCTCAGTAGTTCAACTGTCCTTTCACCCTTTTATTTTTCTCTTTCATAGATACCATGTTCTTTGGGGGCTTGTTAAGAAGTGGAGCTGACTAGGGGACGAGCAATGGATTTGGCCTCACTGGTTTTGGCATAAGGCAAGACATGCGTGTAGAAACGCCCAAGAAACAGTTCGATATGGGACTAAAGGTGGACCAACTGGATAGAAAATCAAAGTAAGACTCGAGTGAGTGCAGTGGAGTTAAGGAGGTCCTAGAATAAAGGCAGGCTGGCAAGAAGGCTTAAGAGAGCTTTCGGTCTAGCCTTAGCATTCATGAATATAATGAGTGTGTGAACTCCGAAATGAGTATGTGAACTCCGCGAAGCCTGATGCGGGTGGGGTGGGAAATAACCTCAGATCCAGACTTCGTAGCTTAACAGGAGCATTTGCAGTAATCGGGGGAGTTCAGAGATGAAGCCCAGGAGTCCCGAGCTGTCGGGAAAAGGGGACAGGATGCTAGGCCCGGTCTAGGCAGTCATATGGCATGAGGGGCTCTGTGGGTTAACTTCAGGGAATGCAATGCTTTTGCCCTAAGCTTTGCTCTGTCTCCAAAATGTAAAAAAAACCCGCTCATCTGTGTATCTTAGGTATGCCAAGCCCTGGTTGTGTTGTTTGTTGTGAATTACTTTGATCATACACAGTGTAGTTAACATGTGTATTTATGTAAGCAATATGTAAATCAGACATTTATCTATTAAATATATCCTGGTGGGGGGAAAACAAGGTAGCTGGGAAAATGCCTCTAGAGTCTAGCCCATCTTTAAAATCATGGTATTTTGTTCTACTGTTACAGTTTGTGCTGTCAGGCAGCCAACAGTTACTCAGCCTTTCTGGACCTGACTACCTCTGTGTCAGGGACTGCTTTTCCTTTTACCATTATCCCAGTTTCCTACTGGCCATCGCTCCCATTCTGCTCTGTTGTGTGGATTACTCTCTTCAAAACTTTCTTCACCCATCTTTTCCCATGGCTTGTCTCATCCCATTTCCTCTTAAGAGATATACTTAAGCCCCAGTTGGTTTGGCTCAGGGGATAGAGCATCAATCCGCAGACTGAAGAGTCCCGGGTTCGATTCCATTCAAGGGCATGTATCTTGGTTGCAGGCTCGATCCCTGGCCCTGGTTGGGATGCATGCGGAGGCAACCAAGCGGTGTGTCTCTCTCACATTGATGTTTCTCTCTCTGTGTCTCTCCCCCCTCTTCTTCCATTCTCTCTAAAAAAAAAAAAAAGCAATGGAAAAATATCCTCAGGTGAGGATTAACAGAGAGAGAGAGATCCTTTAAAGAATCTATATGTCAGGAGGTACTAATGAATTTTATAATATACTCCTGTCTCATAGTCAAATGGAGAGAGAAGAAAAAAAGAATTCAAAACAAGATCATAGAGTAATTGTGGCTGAAAGGAAATGTAAGGGCAAGAGAAATCAACATCACTATGATGCCCAGCCCTAAGTTCTGATCACTGCCCTTCTCGCCCTCTGTGAAGACCAGACAACAGAAGTGAGCAGTGTTACGGGTGGTATCATAAATGGACTCAGATTGACCCCAGCATGGGCAGACCCGCGGTTCAATAATAGAAGATTAAGTACCAGCTTCAAATACTTAAGTGTGCTCTCTGAGTTCCCGATGATGCTATTTTCTACCTGGAGATTTCCTCTACATTTACTTTGATGGCTCAGTTGGAAGTCCGCCATCACTGCAAAGTGTTCTTGAGTTTTGTGCAGTATTGGCAGCAGCATCCTTAGTATTCTGACGTTAAAAGTAAGAAATCCCTGCCTTGTTGCGGCCAGGCTGCCGCCGCCCAGGCAACAGTGGAATATTTCTACTTTCTAGGATCTTGTCCTCTCCCACACTGAGTGGCCTAACCTTTTATCACCTTCAAGAGTCATCAGGCGGATGAGAAAGCCTCCCATTCCTACAGTGGCTCTGCCATCAGTCGGTAACATGCTTCTGCTCTGAGTGTCTAATCTTTTGGGCATAGTAGGGAAACCTGCTCCAGTAAACATGGAATTGTTCATATATCTAAAGCACTTGGAAGAGTACCTCACACATGTTAAGAACATGTTAAGAACTTCTGCTATTATCTATAATAATAAAAGCACAATATGCTAATTAGACCAGATGTCCTTTCAGACGACCTTCCAGATGAAGCTGGGCCTGTGAGGGAAGCCCAGGTCCTGGGTGCCAGAGGGAAGCCAGTGCCGGCAGCCGGGGGATGGAAGGCCTACTCTTGCATGAATTTCATGCATCGAGCCTCTAGTTATTAATATTATTTTATTGCCACCATCTAGGATCAGAAGCTAGCGCCTAACTAAGCCTCTACTTTTTCTCTTGTTATGCTGGGTAAGCAAACCCAAATTATCTGGAAATAGGCTTGATAATATTTGGTGTCTTCTCAATTTTGTGAGCATTGTTGGCTCAAAGAACCTTAAAAAGGTCAAAGTGTTGTCACTTTAGTATTTTTACTTTCTAGAGCTTTCACTTCCCTTTTCTGGATTCCTGAGGGATTGAGCCTGCAACCTGGGTCCACGCCCTTGACCGGAATCAAACCCGAGACCCTTCAGTTTGTAGGCAGACGCTATCCCCTGAGCCAAACCGGCGAGGGCAATGTATCTTAAATGAGGAGAAAATTACCTGAGCCTTTTGAGAAGTAGGAGCTTTTATCCTTGACCCTTTTGTCTAGCTCAGTGATGGCGAACCTATGACACGTGTGTCAGAGGGGACACGCGAACTCATTTTTTTGGTTGATTTTTCTTTGTTAAATGGCATTAAAATATATAAAATAAATATCAAAAATATAAGTCTTTGTTTTACTATGGTTGCAAATATCAAAAAATTGCTATATGTGACACGGCACCAGAGTTACGTTAGGGTTTTTCAAAATGCTGACACGCCGAGCTCAAAAGGTTCGCCATCACTGGTAGCTAAACAATCTGAAAATTTCTGGCTCCCCCTGCTGGTCCCTCCTGGGCAGTTGCATGTACTGGTAGGTGCATCTGGGGACATATGATTGGAGCCAGAGCCAAGTTCTGCCAAGGGAAATTAGAACACTGTTGTGGAATACCCTAGCCGGTTCAGGCAGGCCCGAGGGGGAAGAGAACAGCTTGTGGAGAACAGTTCTGGGAAGTGCAGCTTTCCGTGTAAGGGGCAGGGTATAAGGTGGCCCACTGCCAACTCAGGTCAGGAGGGCAGGGCTGGTGCCTGCAGCACTGAAAGACTATATCATGACTACATGGGCCCATAATGAGCTAGTCATTATGTGGGGATCACACCCTATATTGATCACAGAGATGGGCATTGTCTCCCTTAAGACAAAGCAGCCTGGGCTCAAACCTGGTCCCCATGCACACAGAGGGGGAGATACAGTTTTATTTTGGCCTCTGTGAAAGGTGAGGCAAGGAGGATGGTGAAGGTGGATGGGAGTGTCCTCAGGGTTCATGGTCCTATGTGGTGTACACGATCCCACCTCCCAACTCTGAAGACCAGTAACAACTCTGTGGATCCCTGGGCGGATGTTCTGGTAGGGCCTCCTCCCTCTGTTTCTCTGTTGATTGGCAGTAAGTTCCCTATACCTGCCGCCCCCTCCCCCCCAGATCCATTTCCAGTTGTTTATATGTATTTGGCTTTTCCACAGCACAACTTTCCAGAAAATGGGCTGGCTGGGGCTTGATGGATCTTACCAGACTCTAGTCAGCTGCAGGCATCTTTTTTTTTTTTTTTTGCAGGCATCTTTTTAAAGGGAGTTAAAGATGGTAAGATACTAAGGGCAGATCCCCTCCCCTTCTCTCAACCCCATCCCCCAAGCGCAGTGTATTTCCACTTAAAGTTGAACATGGAGAATAGGCTTGTGTTCTCCTTCAGGACATAGAGATAAGCATGTGACTTTCCCCAGTACACAAGGAAAGGAGCCCACTCCAGAACCCCAGGGTATGAAAGTTGCCATTGGACTTGGGCAGGTGTAACTATGCCACGGTCATTATAAAGAAATATTCGGAAGGAATTCATTTCTGTAGTGGGCGTTGGGGATGTGGCTGGCAGTGGGCAAAGTCCTACATTCTAATGGAGGAAAGCAAACCATAAACAAATAAATATATAATATGTCAGGCCCGGCCAGCATGGCTCAGTGGTTGAGTATCGACCTGTGAGCCAAGAGGTCCCGGTCCAATTCCCGGTCAGGGCACATGCCCAGGTTGCGGGCTCACTCCCTAGTGGGGGACGTACAGGAGGCAGCCGATTGATACTTCTCTCTCATCATTGATGTTTCTATGTCTTCCTCTCTGAAACCAATAAAAAAATATATATATTTCAAAAAGTAGATATTTCAAATAATAGGCTCCTCAAAAGAATATAATAATAGCTACTAATGTGTACATAGTGCTGTACAGTTGACAGTGTTCCCGCATATACATTACCTTACTCTGTTTTCACGTCACCCACATAAGGAAATTTGCTGTCTTTCCATTTTACAGATAAGGAAGGTAAAATTCAGAAAGATTGCACAAGAGAGCCAGTTTTCAGCTGCCACACAGAGGAAGACACAGCCAGTTAGTCCCGAAGAGTAGCAGCCAATCAACAGAAACAGCCGCTTCTCCAGGGCTGTCAGGTAGGAGGAACTGCACCCCCCAGCCCTGTCCCAGACCAACCGCAGAGAGGAAAGGGTGGGGACGTGGTGGAGGACAGACCACGTTCTCCCACTCTCCACTCAAACCCTCACAGCCACGGCCAGGTCCAGCTTCCCTGGGAGGGGGCAGAGCAAGAGCTTTGAAGGGAAGCTTGAGATGAACATTTAAACTTTTTTTATTATTGATTTTAGAGACAGAGGAAGGGAAAGGGAAACATCAATTTGTCGGTTCGCTTATTTATGCATTCATTGGTTGGTACTTGTACATGCCCTGAATGGGGATCGAGCCCGAAACCGTGTGTATCAGGACAACACTCTAACCAACTGAGTTACTCGGCCAGGGCAGATATGAACATTTGTAAAATGAATGTTTTTACTTGTGTAAACATTTAAAACAAATCTTAAATACCAGGAGGTCACAGTTCGATTCCCGGTCAGGACACAGGTCTGGGTTGGGGCTCAATCCCCAGAGTGGGGTGTGCAGGAGGCAGCCGATCAATAAATGGTGATGGTTCTTATTAGAATGATATTTGTTATTTTAAGAGCTGGCTGCGGAATTCCTCTTAGGTAATTGTCTTTATTTATCCAAACTGGACCCGACACTGGGTCAGTCGCCCAGCTGAGCCTCATGGTCTGCCCTGACCAGCTCTTCTTCACAATCTGATTGCTGGCTGACTTGTCCCAGCAGCTCCTACACACTCTGAAATGGCCCTTTTCTTCCTCAGTGACCTGAAGGGACTTGTCACTTGGATCATCAGCTGGTATTTGGACTTCAAGGGCAAGTTTGCCCATATTTTCCCTTCTCTGAGCCACCTTGCTTCCCCCACACCCAGCCCTCTATGTCCAAGTCCTAAGCATGCTTCAGGGTCCTTCTCTGATGCCACCATCTTCTCAGACCTGGCCGGCATCTCCTCCTTCTCCAAATCATCAGAGCTTTTATTTCCCTTCACCTCTCATGTCATTTTCTCTCTTGTGGTGCAGATATTTGTGTAGGTGTATGTCCCACGTCCTGTACTATTCTGTTTAAGCTCTTGTAGGAATTAAGTCTCTCTCGGCGCACAGTATGCATCCAGAATACCTGTTGAATGAATTAGTGGCTTCTCAGTGTCAAACACTATTCTAGGTATTGGGAATACAGAGATGAATTACCTTTGCATGAACCCCATTTGCAAGGAAACCTGGTCTCCTATGGGGAGACCCATAAAGATTGTGAAAAAGTAGGAATGTGTGTGGAACAGGGAGCTGGCCTAGAGGAAGACAGTGATGGAGCCCTGGGCCCCATGGTCAGACAGGTCAGGATTCATGTCTTGGTTCTGCCACTTCACAGCTATGTGGCATGGGCCTCTGTGAGCCTCAGTAAAGGTAAAGCAGTATCTACCCCACAGGGTTGCTGATGTACAGAGGGCCCCTGGCACGGGTGTGACACCGTGTAGTGATGTAATAAATGAAAGTTGTCTCCCTTCTGGGGGGCAAGGAAAGCTGTGCAATTGAGGGGCCATCTGAGCGGAGCTTTGAAGAAGAATTCTTCAGATAAACAAAAAACAAGTACTTTGTAGGCAGAGGAAACTACATGAATAAGCAAATCGTTTGTCATCATCCAAAGAAAAGCTTTAAAAAAAGTTAACCTAGCCCCCCCCTCACACACACACACTCATGGAATTTGTGGCCTTTAACATGGACCCCGAAGCTTCCAGCAGGCCCAGGGCTCAGATTTTGACTCAGAAAAGAAATGCCCTTGAAGGAGGAAAGGGGATGTCAATAATCATGCAGTTTCCTTCTCAGTGCCGCCAGGGGCTTAGATGTCAGCCTGGTGAGGACTGGCCGCAGCCAGAGCAGCAGTTAGGGAGGCAGTGGGCTCTCCCTGAAGCAGAAGTAAGCCATTTCCTGAGGTGCCCATCCACAGGATATAAAGCAGCTGTATTCAGAGGCGCCTCCCTCCACACTGCCTTGTCCTCAACAGAAACTTGTTTTGTTAGGATGGATTAGTCTCTTAGGTAAATATTTGGCATTTCCTTTCACATCAGTTTATCAAGAGATGCAGATCCAGACATTAATTATTCTGCCCCCCTCGGTCTCTTCCTCCCCCAGTGAGAACCGGTCCACAGCGTGTAAGAGGCACCCTCCGCTCTTGGAGGGGTCCAGAGAAGGGTGGCAGGTGGCCGTGGGAGATGTGCTACGTAAGGCCTAGAGGCCCTGCTGCCAGGCTCTCAATTATGTGAACTGGGGAGTCACCAGCCCGCCTCCTCCAAGAGCTTGGAGGGATCAGCAAGACTTGGGAACACTGTCACTCAACGTAAGAGGACATGACTATTTACTCCTGCAAGAGACCTGTGAAATTCTGAATTCTCTGCCAAAACCGTCGCCCTCTCCTTAACCCTGGTGCCTCCAAGTACAGCCTTTCACAAAAGCCAGAAAGCAGAGGTAGATAAGCAGCCAGAGAGAACCGAGTGGACAATCACAGGATTCGACGACTGACCTCATTCACCATTTCCTCCAGGGCTGTCTTCTGCCAGCTCCCTGCCGACCTTCTGCCCTCTGCCCTGCCCACTGTCCTGCCCCTACCCTCAAAAGGAGGGTGAACTGGGTAGGCAATTCTTATTCTGAACACATTCGGCCCATCTTTGTGCGGACTCTGGAGTTCCTGAGAGCAATCTTGGTTGGGGGACGTGGCATTGCATTCCACGTGGATCAATGGATTGATTGGCAGACCAAGAAATCACAAGCTCCGGGTGTCGGATTAATTTAACTCACATGAACTGTGAGCCCGTGGTTGGCTGGGATTTGAGTCTGGGTGGCATCCAAGATCTGAAACCAGGGAGGGCCTGGAGAGGCAGGAAGAGAAGCGGGTCTTGTGCAGTGGCCGGCAAACTGTGTCCCGGGGGTCAGACCCAGCCTGCCACCTGTTTTTGCACAGCCTATGAGCTAAGAAGGGTTTTTACATTTTTTTAATGGTTGGAAACATCAAAAGAAGAGAATTTTCTAACATGTAAAAATTAAATGAAATTCAATTGCAGTGTCCATCAATGAAGTTGTCTGGGATCACAGCCATGCCCATCCATTTATGAATGTATTGTCTTTGCCTGGCTGCTCAGCAGCGGAGCTGAGTAGCTGTGACAGAAACCATCTGGCTCCCAAAGCTGAATGTGTCTACCTTCTGGCTCTTTACAGAAGAAGCTGGCTTATCGCTGCTGTCATTCATTTTTATGAGCGCGTAGTCTGGTGGAGGAGGTGAACGAAAAGGGAGCTTTCTGAGTGTTACCTAATGTGCTTTACAGCTATGAGTCCATGTAATCCTCACAGCAGCCACGTGACTGAGAACTGTTATCCTTGTTTTCCACATGAGCAAACGGAGAAGCACCCAGTCAGAAGGGGGTGGTGCTGGGATCTGCCCCCGGCACTGGTACCACCATGAGCCAGGGCACAGTGACAATGACCAAGGAAGGGGCAGAAGCAGTGTCGAGGCAGGCAAAGACGTCGTGAACAGATAAGATTCAGAAGCACAGAGCTGTTAAGAAAGAGCCTCCAGCCATTGCCAGTTTGGCCTCAGTGGATAGAGCGTCGACCTGGGGACTGAGGGGTCCCGGGTTTGATTCCGGTCAAGGGCATGTACCTTGGTTGCAGGCTCCTGGCCCTGGTCAGGGTGCATGCAGGAGGCAACCAATCGACGTGTCTCTCTCACATCCGTGTTTCTCTCGCCGTCTCTCCCTCTCTCTCTAAAAATAGAAAAATATCCTCGGGTGAGGATTAAAAAGGAGGAGACTCCCGGGGGAGGGTGTTCCGTGGGGAAAGGGAGGGCGCCGGGAACGGTTGGTGTGTACTGAGAGTGGGAGGAGCTGAGCCCAGAAACTACAGTTGGACTGGCTCCTTGGCGTGACAGCTCTGCCTGGCGGTGCCTAGAAAACAGGCTGCTGCTGGTGCCTGGCACACCTTCACCCAGTGGGGTCCAGTGAGGCTTGGGGTGGGGTGCAGCTCATACCCGGCAGTCCGAGTATGGAGCGTATGCTTACTCACACTCGGTCTCCGGACGCTCCCTCTGGCACTGAGCCCGACCTCCTCAGTGGCCATTTTCTGCTAGTCAGGCCTTCCTACTGGGGCCTGGCAGGGCAACCAGAGCCGCCTCTGTGCCAAGTACTGAATTGGGTATTTATATGTGTGTAAAGGCACGACCTGTTGCTGAGGGCTTGGGAATAAAGGTCAGAGAACAAACGAGTTTAAATCCTGGCTGTCACTTACTGTAAGCTGGAGTGGGGAGGGTGCCTCTCACCTCTGAGCCTGTTTTCTGTTTGCCGTCTGCAGGAGGGGAGAGTAAGAGAACCAGCCCCCCAGGTCATGCTGAGCATTAGGCACCGAGAATGGCAGCTCCTATGATGTCTCCCTTAGTCTTCACAGCCCATTTCACTGATGAGGTGACAGGCTCAGAAGTTTGCCCAGGGTCGGCAGTGACCAGATGGTGGAGCTGGACAGCCAAAGCTCAGGTTCTCTGCCCTTGACCATGGCAAGAGAAGCCATTCCACCTTTGTGTACCCATGTCCTGCACAGCTTTCCCCCCCACGGTCTGAAGGGCATGGCATATGGAGGAGGGGTGGAGGCTGGGGGGTGCTGGGGACAAGCGGGGACACCTCCACTCGCTGCTCAGGTCTCCAGATGAGCACTTTGGAAGCAGCAGTAGCTGCTTGCTTTGTTGTTCCACTCCTGCCACTGTCCACAGACACAACCAGAGGTCTCAGGTGGGGAGCAGGACCTAGCGTATCTCAGGCCTCTGGTTCAAGGCCAGGTTCTCTGCAGTGTGACCCGCTGGCAGAGTCTATGGTGGTCACACAGCTACCTGCCCACAGCGTCTCAGAACTCTAGAGTGGCTCTTTTCTCTGACACTCACACCAAACAGCCCAGGCCTCCACCCCACCCATTCCACAGCCCAGCAATTTACCCAGGATTTCATGTAGGTGGTTTAGAGGGTTAAAAAAAAAAAATCCAGTTCTGAGTCCGCCTTTAAACCAGAACAGTGTAATTACTGATATTCATGTGAGTCTAAACCATTGTGGGCTTTGTTTGTTCCTCCTGGTCTGTTTTTCTCCTTTACCACTTTTTTCTACGTGTTTGGAGGTTAAATGCTGTTTCTATTAGGTTAGGGGTTTCCTTCCTGCCTGCTATGAAGTCAACCTGTTCCCAGTCTGATTCTTGCCCCCATTATGCTCACTTCTTGCCTCTTGTCTGCTGTTCTCTTCCCCCCTTCTCTTCATGCATTCACTGCTGAGGTTGCAACCCCCTTTTGCTTACCTCACAGGTAACACGGGGTTGGGGGGAATTCAAGTTGCTAAGCTTCTTAAAGCCCCGTGGCCGTGAGGATTTTCAGCCTGCACATTGTCCCTCCTTAGGTCCCAGCCAGTGCCCTCTAACTCCAGGTGTCGTCTTTTTTTTTCTTTTTTGGTTTTGTTTTTTCATAATTTTTTGTTGTTGTTGTTAATCCTTATCCCAGGATATTTTTCCATTGATTTTTAGAGAGAGTGGAAGGGAGGGGAAGAGACAGAGAAACATCCATGTCAGAGAGACAGATTAATTAGTTGCCTCCTGCATATGCCCCAACCAGGGCCAACGATTGAGCCTGCAACCTAAGTACATGCCCTTGACCGGAATCGGACCCGGGACCCTTCAGTCTACAGGCTAACACTCTATCCACTGAGCCAAACCAGCAAGGGCTAACTCCAGATCTTCTCTCCCTCAGTCCCACCCCCACCTCACACCTTCCTGCCTTGCCCAGTTTTTCTCCTTGGACTTCTCGTTATCTGAACTCAAGTTAAATCTGCTTACTTGTTAACTGTCTCTCACTAAGCTCCACAAGGTTATCCTTTCACCACTGTATCCCCAGGGTCTGAGGCTGGGCATGGCATACAGCAGTGAAGACAACAGGAGCGAATATTTGTTGAACTAATACAGTGGTTCTCAACCTGTGGGTCGCGACCCCTTTGGCGGTCAAACGACCCTTTCACAGGGCTCGCCTAAGACCATCCTGCATATCAGATATTTACATGACGATTCATAACAGTAGCAACATTACAGTTAAGAAGTAGCAACGAAAATAATTCCACAACATGAGGAACTGTATTTAAAGGGCCAGAAGGTTGAGAACCACTGAACTAATGGGTGAATGCTGGCAACTCAGTCCTCAGTGGGAACATTTACCTGTCAGTCCCAGTGCCAACGGTGCCATGAAGAGGAAGATAGGTCTCTTGGGATCCCCTCCCCACCCGAGGTGCAGGGGCATGGACCGCCCACCCTCTGGGTCCCTCACAGCTGAAAAACCAGACTCGGGGAGCAGGGAAAGTAACGTACTAAGGTTTTTAATACAGTCTGATCAGATCAATTCACATCACGAGGTCAACCTGGGCTTGCTCACATGTGACACAACTGAGGTACACAATGTCCCCGCCTGCCAGCTCGCCTGTCTTCCTGCCTCCCAATAGCACTGAACCCCCTACCTCCCTGACCAGACTGGCATTTTTAAAATTTTGCATAAAACTATTTCTTCCGTAGACTCCAAACAATCGACTAGCCAAGTTAATTATGGTACATCTAAACAAAGTTTAATACTAACCCTAACCTGTGACTGCGGTTTACAAAGAGCTCTGTATCACCTGGGATAGCTTTCAGTAGCAATTCACTACAACTGGTCCTAAAAAATAATAACAATAATAATAATAATTAGAGAATTAAAACCCAACAGCAAGTTGAATGGTTAAAATCACGTAAGAACTGGAATTTGGGGTGGGAGTGTCCTCAACAGCTAAGCTTGTCCTAGTAGCAAAATGCTAGACTCCAGGCAGGGCTCAGAAAATTCTGGGGCCCTCCAGGTCAAGGGTCAAGCTCAGGGGGCTCTTGGAGGACACTCGCCCCCTGGTCCATAAGATGCTGTAGGCTTCCAGCTTCCTTCAAGACAGTGGGGCATCAGAGTTGTATACGTGGGTGGAGACCCTACTGTGTTTTCTCTTAAGGGATATGAGATGAGGGAATGAGGGATTAGTGAAGTGGGAGGGGACCGGAATCACTGAGGTCCCAGAATGCCGTCAGGTGTGGGTTTGGGATGGGGGTCACTAAGAATTGAGCACCAGGGATCCCAGCTTCTGCTCACTAGAGGAGAAACTGGAACTGGTGCTGCCTTGAAGGCCCTTGAAGGCCTATGTAGTGTTTCCTGCCCTTGCCCCGTGCTGGGCCTCACAGACATTTCTGCAGAGTATCAGATGAGGATCTATCTAAAGACCACTGGGGGGGTGGGGGTGGAGAGGGATGGGAATGATAAGGTGTGGGGGCGGGGTTTAAAAACGAATAAAAACCTCTCAGCTACAGAACCCAAAGACATCACCTCCCTCCGCATTCACAGCATTTCTCAGCAGTCCCCGGACAGCCATCCCCACAGGGACGCGGCCTCTGCCTCACTTCCCCTCTGGCCCCATGGGCTGCTGGTCAACCTCGGGATCTACTAAAGACGAGGCGAACGCCGACTGCACAATCTGAAACCCGAAGGACTCGAGGAGAGACATGTTCTGCTGGGGAGAGAAAGGTGAGCCGAGGGCGGGGCCCAGGTCCCCCAGGGGGCCCCCGAGAGCCCGGACATGCACCTTCTGGATGTGTTTGTTCAAGTAGGACTTGGAACGGAAGAAGCTCCCGCATTCGGGGCAGGGGTACTTCTTCTCCCCGTCAGACTCCATTTTGTTTTTGGGGACCGCCATGTCGCAGGAGAAAGAGCCGTTGGTGTTCTGCTTCTCCGGCGTCTTCAGGTCGCTGGCATCCGAGAGGTCACCGTAGGAGTCGGAGCTCTCAATCGGATCCTGATGTGAGCATTTCTGGCCTTCTAGGAGAAAACAGAACACAGAGGCGAGATGAGGCCAGGCTCTGGAGCGGGCCCCTCCTGGAGGGGCTGTGAGGGACCAGCTCACAGGCCTGTGGAGGGCGGTTGGCAGCCATCCACGGTCCTGGCAGAACCCACCGAGGTGCGGCTGGTCATCCTGGGGGTCTGACCACCTACGGGGGTGAGACAGCAGGGCCCTGGGGCTGCCGGCCTCCCTCGCTGAGGGCTCTTCATGCAGGTGCGCACGTATCGCTCATCATCATCTCAGCCTGCTCCAAGGAAGGGGGTTCAGAGAGGGGACCTCCACTGCTTCTCCCCAGAACAACTCACAGACCCCCAGTTCCTAGGCCCTGTCTTGGGTGCCTCTGAAGGTCAAACGGCTGTTCTGATGCTGCTGAGCAGGGATGTCAGTGGCCTCACCTCTGCACCAGACTAGCTGCACCCTAGCAAGGCAGAACCAGAGCCGGGGATCCTCAAGTCAGCAGACACCAAGATGGCGGAGACAGAAGCCAGTCCTTTCTCCAGGGCTGCAAACACAAGCCTGCCCTCACCGCCTGCCTTCTGCCAAAACCGTTCCTGGCCAAGTGGCCGAAGCACAGAGACTAAAGTGACTCTGAACAATGCAGCTGGCAGATTGTCCCACACAGAGCCCGGGACAAGCTGGACCGCCAGACAACCCTCCTTGCTCTGCCTTGCCCGGCCCACTGTGGAGTCCTCCACCAATCAGCAGCTTCCTGCCTGGGTTCAGAGAGCCATGCCGGTTAGGGAGGTCTGTGATGGGAGCGTGGAGCATGCCATCTCTGCCATCCACCAAGCCCCTGGCATCATCCCCAAGGCAACCACAACTTAAAAAGACCACAAAACAACCGGAATCAACGAGTGAAGGCAGGGCTGAGGGAGCTCTACGCAAACCAACTCAAGTCAGAGGCAGTCAGGTAGTTCACTTATCGCCATGCATCTCACAGACACAGCCAGAGGCCCTATGGAAAGGGCGCTCACAGCAACCAGTCACACCTATGAAGGGGGGAGCCAGCCCTGGGCTCCCCCTGCCCAGCAGGAACAAAGGAGAAAGCGTTCAGCTACAGCTCCACACCACCCTTCCAGGGCCACAGGCAACAGACAGGCCCCCAGTAACTCATCATGCAGGGCTCCTCCTCCTGCCCTGGGCTGGGACATGTTGTGTGGGGGCTCCAGACAGCGGGCCTGGCCAGGAGCAAGGGAGGAGGGCTGGGGAAGAGGAGGCGGGGGCTGGATCCTGGCAGGGCCCTAAAGCCTCACTCCCTGCCCTGGAGTGAGCTACCCACTGTGACTCTGTCCTGGAGGCCACTGCCACTCAGATCACTGAGCCTCCTTGAGGCGGCCAGCAAGCCGGCAGCCTTCCCGCCTCCCCACACCCGGCCCAGCGCCCCCACAACACAGTCTGCGCAGAGAAGCAAAGTGCAGAGCAAGGGGTCGCTTGCCTTTGTTGCCATAGGTCCTGGCGCAGTGGAACGCTGCTCCCCCATTCGGTATGGGCTCCTGGTGCCTGGAGACCTGGGGAAGGGGAACACCGTGGTGGGTTTTAACATGGACCTTTAAGTAGGAGGCAGAGGAGAAACCTAAACAAGACAAAAGGAGATGAGATCCCGCGGCCAGCACCGAGACACCTCTCTGCTTCCCCCACGCCTCTCCTCTGGCCGCTCTGGCCAGCATTCCCAGGTCAGCTGCACCTAGAAGGGGGCCCCCGCCTTGGCTCAAAAACAGCTGCAACCACAGGAGCCACCTGGCTCAGGATGAAGGATGGCACTGTCCTCGAATGGGCTCCTCTGCAGAGCCCACTCTGCCAGGCTGCGGTGGAGGGCCCAGGCCAGCTGCCTGGACAGGCGGATGGTCAGATCTGCTCCGGCCGGGCCAAAGGCCAAACGCCTCTAGGCTTGCTTGGCCCTCAGTGAGGAGTGGTTTGAGTGGTCCCACAGCCCGTCAGCTGCAGGGACCACAGCTAGAAATGGAGTCAGAAAAGCATTCGGGCAGCCACGGGCCGCCAGCCACAGAACGCTCGCTAACACTTGTAAAGGCAAACAGTACCACAAATCAGATGGAGGCCAGATGAAATCACAAAGGACTGCCTCCAGGAGCACTCCTGCTTCTATTTCTTAGGACATGCTCTAGGTTCCTACGTTTTCCACCTTCAGAATAACTGGATTTAGTAACTGTTTATAAAGTCATTTTAAAGGAGTGTAGTCATCTCTTATTCATGGTGGTCTTGTGGTTCACTTTTGGAGCATCCATCGGGTTCACTTAAGGAAAAAACAGTGATGATCTTTGCCTTTATTTTGGGGAAGGGACAGTCCGGCCATCTTGGGGCCACTCCAGCCCAACCCAGATGCTCCAGTCAGTTTGCGCTGTGTGATATCTCGGGCCGGGAAGAGCAGATCTTGGGCCAACTTCCACACCACCCACAAGCCTGAGGATACGGAACCAGGTGGGCAGGTCAAAAGATTTCGGCTTCGGTTTTGCAGGAAGAAGCTGTGTCATCGAGCCCCATTCGTGGCCAAGGATCAGCAAGTGCCTTCAGTAGCAAGCGAAGCTTTTTAGCATAAGGCCACGTGGAGTGCCAGTGCCTTGCTGATGTCCTTTCATTCACTCAGACCGGCTGACATGTTCTCAGGTACTTTCATTCCCCTTTAAACTTACAGGGTAACAATGGGATCCATGACTTAGAGGTCAGAGGCTGGAAGTACTGTGTAATGTCTGCACAAGACTCACTTTAAAAAGTCTGAACTGGCATGGCCTTTGGAACGATAGTAAAAGTTACCATGAGCTTCCTCACTCCCAAACTCCCAGGGTCCTTCCTTTCCCTCTAGAACTTGTTTCCTAAGCCCATTTCTTCTAGGAATTACTTTTTCTACCCGAGTAATTTACCCAGTAAATGTTCTCTTGCCAAAAAAGAAAAAGTTCACCTTCAGCAAGTGGTGATGGTGTGCCAGGGCCCGGCACATTGCATGCAGTATTCTGTAGTATTCCCCCAGCCACCCTATGAGCTGAGAATTATTATACCTATTTTATAGATTACAAAATAAGAGGCTTGGTGAGGTTAAGCAACTTGCAGTCACTGGTACAGCTACCAAATGACAGAGCCTGGACTCCAACCCCAGGGCCATGTGGTCCTTAACCACTGAGTAGACTCTTTTTTTGTTTGTTTTTAATATATTTTTATTGATTTCAGAGAGGAAGGGAGAGGGAGATAGAAACATCAATGATGAGAAAAAATCATTGATCGGCTGCCTTATGCACACCTCACACTGGGGATCAAGCCTGCAACTCAGGAATCGAACCGTGACCTCCTGGTTCATAGGTCAATGCTCAACCACTGAGCCACACCGGCTGGGTGGGACAGACTCTTGTTAATGGTTCCTATGTCTTGGCCCTGGCCCTAGAAACATCCCTTGGGCTTTTGCAATCGGTTTCGTGATTACCATTTACACTCATGTATCTCTCTTCCATTAGAATGGAAGCCGTTGACGTGTGGGAAGCTTATTTAACAAACACTCCCCTGACAACAGTGCGTGGTGGCTCTGGAGGAAATGGGGGATTGTGTGAAGGTTCCGTCCTTTCCTGACACAGCTCCTTCACAGACTCACTTGGGCCAGAGGCCGGGGTCCTGCCCTGCCTGGCAGAGCGAGCTGTCCTGTGCTGTGACGAGGGGTCTGCCTGGGGCCAGTTACAGGGCAGACTGGCTTATCTTATGAACATTCCTGAGAGGAAGGATGTAGTCAGGAATGAGTTGAAGAGGCTCATGGGAAAGAGGATCTCAGCCCCCTACTCAGCACAGCACAGATATCAGGGACTTTCTGATGACACGATGATGCCACTGTAGAAGGGAAATTTTTTCTTTGTTTTTCATCCCTGGTGAGGCCTCTGCAATGGTGTGGTGTCCCCAGGCAGGTCCATGGCAATAAAAGGGGATGGGAAAGGAAGGAAGGGGCACCAGGAATTAGTATAGTCACTCCTTCTGGAAAGAGCTATGTACCAAGGGAATCCAGCAGATGCTCAATGAGAACTTGCTTAGTTTTCCTGAAAAACGGGCTGAGTAACACATGGCTGGGTCCTCTTGACTTTACCCGGCTGCAGACAGCACTATCTATAGCAGAACCACATGGCAGGGTGGGAGGAGTAGATCTACAGCTGCCATGTGAAGCCCAGAATTTAAACACAGAGCAACTCAGCAGCCAACTGTTGAGCTAAAACAGAAGCTGAGTTTCTGAGAAGAAAACATCTTTTAAGTCAGAAACATTTAGTTGGAATTCTGAACTCACCTGCCCATTCACTACTGCTTAACCAAGAACCAACAAGGCGGCTGGATCCAGGCACCAGAACGATGGAGACACTGAGCACACACGTGACTCCACTACAACCACCAAGCCGCCCTCCCTCGCATTCTAGAGATGAAGATTTTATTGCCAAAGGGCTATCCTGCTCTTCCACTGCGTTTTCTTGTCTGTTGCGCTGCATTTCACACTCCAGAAGCAAATCCTTTCTTTGCAAGTTTCCCATCCATGCACGAGTCGCTTTCTCCTTGTCCAAACCTTGGTGAGGCCACGCTCAACTGAGCAGTGCCAGATGGGGGCACTAGTTGGTTTGTGTCAGCTCAGAGAATGGCAGGCCGTCTGCACCCAAGACTGGCATTGGTAACAACTTGTACGCCCACCTCTGGGGAGAAGACTTCCTCTACCTTTTAAGCAGTGATGCTGGACACCAGATGTTGTCTCTGTCAGAGGCACATTCTCAATAAGCAGCCCCTCTTCCTCACATTGGTACATACACATATACACAAAGACCCTGCTACAGAAATTTTAAAAGAAAGGTAGAAAACTATGGTGACCTACTGGATCCTTTTCTCCCTCCTACTGATCAACTTAACTGATAATCCTCAACTTGAAAATGAGGGGACAAACTTTTTTCACCATCTTCCCACTACAACTTATCTTCCTCTCCAGAAGGTCTGACCCGCATCTTGATAGGTCTCTAGGACAAAGACAAGGTCATGTGCTAAGTGTGGGACTAGAGCAGCCAGGCTGCCTCTAATCTCTCCATCCTTCACAGGCAAAGACTGAAAATGGCAGATCCATTAGTAGTTAAGTTGACTGCTTAAGACTTGTTGGGCCTTGGCAAGTGTGGTGCACTGTCCCATGCTCCAAGGGTTGCAGGTTCGATCCCTGGTTAGGACGCATGTGGGAGGCAACCAACTGAACCTTCTCTCTCTTTCTCTCTCTCTCTCCCTCCCTCGCCCCCTTCCTCTCTCTGGAATCAATTAAAAAAAAAAAGACTGTTGGGATTGAAGGATGTCAGAGGGCATTTGGAAATTCATTTGATCCCATCTCAACCATCTGACCAGCTGGCTGGACATTAGCCTTTGCTCAAACCCTTGTAGAGTTAAGAACATCCACTTATCAGTTCAGCTCCTCCCTGAATTCACAGCCTTGGTGGCAGGTGGCGGGCAGGGCAAAGGATGACCCAGACTCTCTGCATTCTGAGTCCAGTGCCTTGATGTCTTTGGTGGCATTTTCTTCCCGAAAAAACTGCCTTCCTCTTTGGTGTTCTTTCCTTTTTTTTTTCCCCCCTGTTGGGGTCTCTTTCTTTTTCTGCCCAAGAAATGAGTCCAGAGGTAGAATCCTGTTCCTTCTCTTCTCATAAAGTGAAATTCTCTTCTCTTCCTTCTGAGTACGCAGGGTAGGCTGGACTAGAGCCCTCCTTTATCTTCTTAGAAGAATAGGACTTCCTGCTCTGACTCAGACCCAAAGCTGTTTAGCTTATGATCCAGATGTAGTCTTGTCTTCTCTGAGATAAGGTGGCCTCTGCTTTTACTCTTCCGTTGTCTCCATCCCAGTCATGGAGCCTGCGGGCTGCTGCCCAAGGCCTTTCCCAGCCCCAGGAAAAACAATTCTCCACGGACAATAGTTGTTGGCTTTGCCACATCAGCTGTCTTGTAACTGGGCCAACTTGCCCTGCTGTTCCCTGCTGCTCTCAGCTCTTCTTTCCTTGGGAGCTTAGCCCCCACGGGCTGTGGCCCTGGATCTCCCACCAGTCCTCACCCCACTCTGCAATCCAGGCGAGGCTTTCTGGATTTCCTCATTAGCACCTTTCTCCACTCCCGTTGGTTCCTGCTTCTGGGCTCTGACCGCAGTTCTGAGGCTGAGAACTGCAACCTTGAAAACTTGACAAAGGGCCAGAGGATGGCATGTGGTGGCAGGTTTAGCATTATTTGGGGGTGCTGTTAGGAAGCCAGATTAGGATGAAACAAGACAGAAAACTTTCTGGAGCTGGGGCAGCCACAGTCAAGATGGTCAGCTACACCCCGATAATTCCCTGTATGCACAACCCCACCACCTGCTACCCGGAGGAAATTCCTGCCAGAAGGGCTCTGTTGACATGTCAGAAAATAGGACAGATGCTTAAGCAGCTTTTATTACCACCTCCTGCAGGTTTCTTGGTAATGCAGACAGTGACACCCAGTGGCCTTCAGGCGAAATCAAGTGTGCAGTCTCAGGGAGGGGCAGCAGGAACACCCAGCTGCTCCTCAGACTCCCCCACCAGCGACCTCGGGGCGCACGGAGACAGCACAGCACCCAGAGATTCCAGCCAAGGGCAGCAGGGATGTTTGTTTCGCTCTGTCCAAGCCAGGGTGTCCGCGCATCTTTCCTAACAGTTACAAAGTGTAAGAACGGGGCCTCCCACGTGTGCAGCACCTTGTGGGGTTCAGTTAACTTCCATCTACTTTGTGTGCCGGGATCCTCACAACATCCCTGTGAGGTGGACAAGGGGGGTGGTGTCCTTACCCCATTTAAGAGATGAAGAAACTGATGTTTAGAGGGAAGAGGGGTGAGGTAGAAGTGGCTGGGATTTAAACCCTAGGCCCCCCTGATTCCTGGTTTAGGACTCAATCCACTAAGCCACACCCAACACTTCCAGAAGCATCTAGACAAGGGTGTCCCAGGATACGGGACCTCCCAGCAGAATCCACACCCGGCCAGAGCCAGCACACCGTGCAGAAGCATCCTCACACCCACTACCGGCAGCTGCCCAACCTCCTCCAGCAGAGACGTGGCGCCAGCCTCCTCCACTGACACTGCGCGTGCAAAACACAAACCTCAGCCCTTCCAACCGCTGACGGACAAGCCCTGGCAGAAGCTCAGACTCAGGACAGGCCTGACTTCACCAACACAACACCCGGGCCAGAGCCAGAGCCGCCTCGGCCCACCTCAGCAGCAAGCGCGCTCGCTCCCCTGCTCAGAACACCTTCCACTCTCCTTTCTGGTCAAGGCCACACTCTACCTGGGTTTGGGCTTTCTTCTGATCGTTTGTGCTACATACAGAGTTTCTTTTCTGATCCTTATCCATCGCTAGACTCAACCTCCTCCTTCCCTGGCTGCTGAATTCCACTTGCCAGGGAACCAGCCAGCCAAGCTCTCAAGCAGGAACCCTTTTTCTCCCCCCTGTGGGGTCTAGTGACTCTCTCACCAACATCAACACTTCCGTGGTCTCTCCAACTGCATCCATCCTGCCACCTGAGCAGCAGATGTTCCGGGCAAAGCTTGGGAACAATACCCTTCCTGTTGCCACTTGCTCATCTCTTGGCAACTCCCATTCCAAACATCCTAAGTCTCTTGGGACAGAAGGGGTGGCAAGCAGCTAGCTGGGCGAGGACCGTTTTATCACTCAGTGGGAAGGGAAGGCCAGCCGTGCGCAGGATGGAGTCTGAGGCAGGGTGGTCCGGAGCCCCCAGCCGCCCCAGCGGCCCGCCTGTGGAAGTGAGGGGACCGCAGGGAGATTACCTCGGTTACAGATGCTGCAGAAGTTGCTGGGCCCCTCGCTGTGCTTCTTCAGGTGGTCCGCCATGTACGCCGCCCGCAGGTACTTCCCGCACACCTGGCAGGGCACTTTGTCCTCATGACAGGCCAGGTGGGAGCGCAGACGGTCTCGGGTGGCAAAGGAAGCGTTGCAGGTCTGCGGGCAGAAAGGAAAACGGGATGAGGGGAAAGCTGGCACGCCGCGCCTGGCTCCTCACCGAGTGCGCCGCGAAACAAAACCACTTCTGGCCGACACATTCGACTCCTTGTTCAGAGAGCTTTAGAGCACGGCCTAGGCTTTCTCCCCCACAGGCCAGCCCGCGGCTCTCATTGCCCACACGGGACACTGGTATTGGAATTCCTGGTTCCCGTGACTACCACAGCACGGCACACGATGCTCCCCTACAAAATGAAGATGATGCATTTGTTCATTCGTAAACATTCAGAATTGACATCAGTTGCAGTGACTGTAAGGGAATTTACACAAGAGTTACTGGCATATAAACAGACCAGTCTTCCTGTTCTCCATCCTGGGTTTCCCTAGTTGCTTTATACAAAGAATTCCATTTATTCCCTTTATTCAAAAGTGACTGTTCGTCTTGGCCACAGGGAAAGGAAAAGAAAAGGCAGGACAAAGCCCATAGATTACTCCCATATTCTCGTGGGTCTGTGTTGAAAAAGCAGCCCCTAACATGATAGCGTCCATGCTGCTAACAGGAGGAAGAGCAGAGAGAAGGCGGGCCAGAGGCTTTGGGAGCATTTGTGAAATGTTAAGTTGGGGAAGTGCTGGTAAGAACAAGGAAGGTGATGCTACCCTACATTGACTGGGCACTCACTCCGTGCCAGGCGGGCACCAGGCTTAGTCTTTTAGAGGCACTTATCTCACCCGGTTCATCCTCACAGCAGCCTTCCGGGGGAGGCTGTGTTATCACCTCCCAAGAGTGCGGTCACAGAAAGTTGTGCTGTGACCACCAACTCATAGCCAGGTCCCAGGGGCAGATGACTCAGGTGATAAGGGTCAGCACCCGCACCCTGGGAGGGTAGGCCCAAGCCCCAGGCATTTCCTGTGTCTGGAACCTGACTCAGTCTCAATCCCTGATCTCCCCCCAGCACCCTTTCCTCAGCTGGGGCTTGCACGGGCCTTGGGGGCCACGGAATGTCGGAAAAGTCCTCAGGAGAGTTCTGTCCGGTGACTCTCCGGCTATTTTGATTCTATGGAAGTGTTCCCGGGGTCCTAGTCGAGTCTGACTAATTTCTCTGTGTGTGTTTACTGTTGTAGAACTTCAAGAGAAAGCAGCCTGCCCCTTTGAGTGCATTACAGATCGAACGTTAACCCACTGAAGACCTGCTACCCTGCTAACTTGCTCCTACTGTGTCTGTTCAACAAAGCATATCCTGAGATCCTTAAGGTAAGTGAGCAGTGCAGTCATCACATACACTCACCTATTTCCTTACTGCACAAGTACAGTTATCTATCTCCTTACTGTCCAACCAAAAGCAAAAAACAAACCCACGTGATAGTGTGCAGGCCGAATGCCACGGCTGCTCCCCTAATCCCGTGTCTGTGTGCATCAGGACAGGCCTTGCTGTTCTGTCATTATCTTTTAAGTAAACGTTACAAATCTGAACAGAACAATTCATACTAACCAAAGACCGCTTTTATTTGTTTTATATATTGAGTTTATTCGTTTGACAAATGAGGAAGCTGAGTTTAGAAAGTGATTTGCCCAAAGCACATTCGGCTACTAGAGAAAGCAGCGGTCTGAACACCCTGCCACACCAGACCAGTACCCTACCGATCCCGCCGGCGGCCCCGGGGTCCCTGTCTTCCCTGATGTCCTGCGGGAAGACGGGAGCCCTGAGAGGACACGGGACAGTTGGCCTGTGAGCCACCCGACCTGTGCTCTCCCCACCTCTAGGCTCAGTAGAGGTCGCTTCTGGTCAGTGAAAGGCGCAGAGACTTTTTAACACCGTGTATCTGGTGGCCAGGGCTCCCCTGACAGGAAGAGGTGACAGGACTGTGCAGGGGAACTCGAACACTTAGGTGCCTCAGAAAGCATCATGGGTGCTTGGTCTCATGGCCACACATGGGCCCTGCCTCATTCCGGGACCGCTAGACCCAATTATAGGCCAGAATGAGGGGGGAGAGAGACTGAATCTCCACCTGGCCCCCGGCCTGTGAACCAGAGCAAGGGCTGCTGTCAACACCCTCTGGAGGGCGCACCTGCCGATTTATCCACAGTCAAGAGCCAGCTTTGCCAGCCAGTCACCTACCCACCACCCCTGCGATGAGAGGCCGTGTGGCCTGTGCCTCGGAACTCAAAGGAACCACACATGGCCCAGGTGTGAGAACGTGCAGCTGAAAGCGCGCATTCAGGACTGTCTCCCGTGTTCCCCGGGAGAGGGTGCCACTAGACGGATATGAAAGAGATGCCTTGTTTCTCTCGCCAGCCTTCTTTTGGGACCTGTCCCTTAAAGCACTGCCTGTCATACTTTGCTGGCTAAAGATAATGGACCGCCAAACCTCAATTATCCACAAGTGGATTATCCAGCTGGAGGATTAGCTGAGGAAAATTAAAATCTCAGACCAGGCCGGCTCCCCCCCCATCCTCCGTTGGTGATCTCTCCAGGAAGGAAGGCTAACTTCAGCCTGGGCAAACATCATTAGGGATGTAAATCTGCTGCTGGGAAAAGGACACACAAGCACGACAAAACTTCCACCGTGTGACAAAGCCAAACTGGAGCGACTGTTGGCTTTTCTGCGCCAGAGCTGACCCTTCTTGGCCGAGTCCCCAAAGTTTTCTGGGGGAATCTTGAAAGTGTGTGAGTCTGAGTCTACACCTGCCAGAAGTTCAGAGAACACAGGACATAAAGAGGCTGGTCACATGACCCAGGAGAGGCGGGACAGATGCCAGTGGCTGAGGGGAGACATATCAAAGAGGGGGTCACCCAGAACCTCCATGTGGGGACAACTCCAGAGAAAGGCATTTCCCTTCCAGGAGACAGGGAGGAGAGGGACCCTGATGGGACGAGAGTGAGCCTGCGGTGAGCCATTGATTGCCGGTGGCGCTTGGAACGGCTGCCCTGCGCTCAGGAAGCCTGCTATTGCTAAGCACAAATGCCAGGTCCCAGCCCAGCCAACCTGAGCTTGGGTCACGTCTGCTCATCACCACTCCACACTGAGCCCAGACATGCTCACTTCCCCACCCACCCCCAGGTTCTCCGTATCCCAGACTTCCTAATGCTGTTCTTCCCAAGGGTGGAGCAGCTCAGAAGAGAGCCCAATGGTACCAGGAGCTAATCACACCTGACCCCGGGTGGCTTTGAAGTTGGCCAGCCTCAGGGGATGTCCCAAGCAACCTCTCCACAGCCCTGGGGAAGTCTACGGGCAATGCATGGAGGCCCGGCACCAGAGGCCTTACTGGTCCCCTTCTTCCGGGCATCAGCTCCCTATTCCCACCTCTAGCCATTCCTTCTCTAACAAGCTACCCCTCCGCCCAAGCCCCCCCGAACAGCCCCTGAGAAGTGGGGACACTGGAAGCAATGGGAGATTTCTCAGCTGCTCTAGCCTCTCCACTTAGGCTGAAATGTCCTAGCCCACGGCACTGAGAGATGCCGTCAGTTAAGGACTCTCAGGCCCAGCCCTGAGGCGACCTGTGTGTCACTGCCAACCTGAGGGCTCATGCCCTGACATTTGGCTAGCCCTTTCACTCAAGCTGTGGCCCAGCCTTGGTAACTGGCTCTCCGTCCTCTGTGGCATCAGGAAGGGCTGCGAGATACATGCCCAGCTTTGCCAGGGGCCCAAGGAACTAACTCCCAGAGAGCGATAGTCACCTCTGAGGCTTTTAGAATACACTCCATGCAAAACAGATGCCCCTGCTGGTTAACCAAGCCCAGGCACACCTGACGGGCCAGCCCCGCACATGAGAGCCAGCATGCCTTTACCTGCTGGGTCACCGGTAGAGGAGTTCTGGCTATGGACTGGAGGCAGGGCCAGAGATCTGTGCGAGGGCCGGTTGAGAGGGCGTGGACACCCAGGGACAATGATGTCAGTGTTATGACACAAACCAAGGACAAAACACACAAAGCCTCAAATGTTAGAATTAAAACTTTTATCATCACTCCTGTTACCCCACGGAGCCCGCGGGGGCTAAAGGGCACACCAACAGGACCCGAGAGGGGGCGTCTACATACATCTGCTTCATCAGCCCCAAAGCCATATGCTGGGGTGACCCAATACAAAGCTACTGGTTAGTCTAGTTCCTGAGCAGACCTGCTAATAAACCTCGAAAACACAAAAGTCTAATTCACTAGCCAGAAATGAAAGCAGGACCTGTCTGCGGGGAAGGGAAGCGCAGGGCAGCGGGGGATGACCCAGCTGGAGTGGCACCAGCGTCTCCTCTAGAGGGGCATTCACTCCCAGGGTGGGGGGAGGGGTGGCCAGGCCCCATTCTAGAAAACCCCTGCCTTAGGGGAGGTGATGACAGGTGGAGGGGAAGCACAGAAGCCAGTGGCTTAGTTCCCAGGAATCACCCAGGCAAGGAGGGACCCCCGGGGGACCTGAGCCTGAGTGGGTGGAGACCAAGGAGCTTCTTGCTATCCCATCTGGGGTCCCTGAGCTGGGAAAGACTCCAGGTCACCCTGGAAGGAGCCAGGCGTGGTGGGTGGGAACCACTCTGCTGGCCTCTCCCAAAAGCAAGGGTCTCAGAGCAACCGCCGCTCCCGGTCCCTCCACCGAAAACCCTCTCTGGGAGGCCAGGCTAGCCCACAGGCCACTGGGGAAAGGCCCGGCTGCCCTCGGGGGCGGCCCAGCCCTGCCGCAGATATCCCGGAGGGGCTGGGCAGAAGAGAGCGTTGCTGGAGTGTGCTGGGCCCAGGTTTTCGAGGGCTGGGAAGGATTTTTTTAGAGAAAGGGAAAAGGCGGTGTCAGGAACCGAATGGGACGACCTCCACAAAGCAGGCTGGGCAAAGTCCCATGATGGCAGGTCGCTAGGAAGAGATTCCAGGGGCGGCAGGCCGCTGCTGCTCCCAACCCACACCTGGAAAAAGGGCAGAGAGTGCAGGTTACCCCCCCAGGCCACCGGGCTCGGCCCCACTGCCCGCTGGGCTCCTCCTACTCTGCCAGGCTCTCAGCACACTACCTGGGAGAGTCTGAATGTGCTCTGTGACGAGAAGATGAGAGACAGAGAGAAGGCAACCAGGACAGATGGACCCCAGCAGCTCCACCCAGGTTAGCGTCCTCCGGGGAGGCCACCTCGCCTCGCTATGTGAACACCATCCGCGCTGGCCCCGGGGGCCCCTTGGCCTGCCTGCCACACATCCACCCCTCACTGCAGGTCTCCCTGAGCCCTCCCTCCTTGCCACCAACAGGATGAAGAGAAGCAGGCTACCCCCCAGAGGTTGCAGTAAGCACCCCACAACTCGGCGCCCCCTCGGATGGCGGGGACTTGGCACCGGAGAGGGGAGGTAACCAAGAAGAGAGAGGCGTGTTTTCCATCTACACAGGAATGCTCAGTGGCCAAGAGAGGACACTCAAGTTTCTGGGTGCCGCAGGGCCCCTAGGTATTACTCAAGCAGACAAACCGAGGGTGAGAACCTCACCCAGCCTTCCCTACCGACTGCTGCGCAAAGAGCTCACTCACAGGAGAGGAAACCACTGTGCTCTCCAGTCCTCAGGAGGGTGAAACGGGTGCCAGCGCTTGGAGATCAGACCGCCCACCCTCTCCCCCCCTTGCCGACCTCTGGGGACTCCAACTGGGGTCGGGCTGCCTGACAGACAAGGGGAAGCTGTTGCTGGCTGGACCGCCAGGAGCCTTTCCCACCCCCCTCCCCATGTGGCCTCTGTACACTGCTGAGAACCAGAAGCCGGGCCCAGTGGGGTGCCAGTGCCCCCAGGGCAACACGTGTGCCATGTGGCCCACCATCCACAGAGCTGGCCAACACCAGGAAGGAAAGCTAAGCAACACAGGAGACAGAGTGGGAACCAGGACCCAACAACCAGGAAGGAGGGCCCGGCAGTGGCGGGAGGGGGCAGGGGGAGAACAAAGGAGCAGCCGGAGGGTGGAGGGACAGAGGAGGAGGTGTGCCAAGCGGTGGTCAGTCAGCGCGTCAGCTGGCTCGTGGCCGGCCTGTGGGAACAGCAGCATTCTCTCGCAGCCCAGTGCTGCCCTGGCCCGACCCCTACCTGACACTTGTGAGGCCGCTCAGAAGTGTGCACCTGCTTGATATGTCCATTCAAGTGATCAGGCCTGGAAGAGAGAGAACCAAGACAGACTTTAAAATCGGACCTCAGAAAAGGGGGCTGCACTCTTGGCCAGACCCCCCAACCCCACCCAAACCCGGATGGAGAGCACGCCCTTCCCCCCTCCCCCTCTACTCCCCCCCCAGCATGACAAAGACAGCCTCACTACCCTGCTCTGGCTCCACAGGCCCAGGCCTCTCTGGAGGGAAGGGAAGTGTTTGTCTCTGACCTTGCCTACCCACCTCCCTCCCCCACAGAAGCTCAATGATTTCCAGGACCCTGAGGAGGTGGCTTTAGAATGAGACAAGCTGCCTTGCTGCAGCCTTTCCGGGAGGGGGTATGTGTGATTCATTGTCCAGACTAAAGCCCCTTAGAAACTCAGTATTCCCCTCCCCCAGCCTCTCCCGCCGTGGCAGCCAATGAATGCCACCCAGATGGAATTCAGTCCCCAGAGGCCAAGGGATGGAGCCTTAAGTCCCCAGCTGGGCTGGTAAGCCAGATGCCCGCCAGAGCAGGTGGGCAGGGGTTGCCTGACCGGTAAGACTGGTTCCTGACTGGGGCCCCTCTGAGGGAGTTCTCCATCCCTGGGTTCCACACACAAGGTCCTTAGTATCCAGGCAAGTTAAAACCAGCCTTTTATTCTGGAGATTCTCTTCAGAGGAGGAACAAAACAACCCTCCGCTCCCAGACAAGTCCTCAGTTCCCTCTCAGGACCACTAAAAAGTGCATCTAAGAGCCATCCTGCCCCTTCCTCTATGTCCTGAGATCATAAAGGGGACCTGTGGGGTCAGCGAGGCTTGGGAGCCACCAGATCAGAGCTGATCAAAGATTTCGGTGTTAGGAAGAGACTCTGGGTGCCAAGCTGTGTGCCCAGGGGGCTGTGGGGGGCAAAGCTGGAGTTCACTGATCTATGATCGCCAGCGCTGTGCTGTGCGCTGGGGGAGGTGGTGGCACGGCAGCGTCAGGAGTCTGACATACACTTGTTTCTGTTTCAGCGTCTCCCCCAGCAGCCATTCAAGCGGGGAAAGTCGCTGGAGGAGCCCAGCCTCCCGCCCCCAGAGGGGGCCCCACGCCTGGTGCCGGAAACACAAAGGGAGCCCAGGGAGAAGAATGGTGAGGCCCAGTGGCTGTGGCCTGAGGAATCCGGGCCCCTTCCCACCAGACCCCAAGGAAGAGAGACAGTAGGGCATGCCTAGTGCCAGAGAACTTCCCTAGGGAAGAGAAAGCAGCTCCTTGGCCGCACCATCTCAAAAGCTGGGCTGTTAAAACACTCCCCAAACCAGGCAGGCCTCTGTAAGGTCAAGTGACCCCCACCCTCCCAGATCTTGGCAAGGAGCTACCCCATGGGTCAGAAATAGACAGGTCATGGGGGGAGGGTACCATTTCTCACCTGGAGAAGCCTTTCCCACAGCTCTGGCAGATGTAGGGCTTGCCCACAGACCCGTCGTGGGACCGCACATGGTAGGACATGCGATCTTTTCTCTTGAACCTCAGCCCACACACAGGGCAGGAATAGGGCTTCTCCCCAGAGTGGGAAAGCTTGTGCCGATTGAGATGGTACACATCACGGAAGATCTTGCCGCAGATTTCACAGGCCACCTGCTTCCTGGTCCGGCTCCTCTTTCTGGGTCCATCCGGGTCCTCCGAGATGGGTAGCCCATTCTCACCCAGCCTGGGAGGAGGAAGGTCGATGTAGCCCAGCTGGAGGCTGGTGACACCGTGCTGGGCCTCGTGCTGCCGGAGCCGGTTGGCATCAGTGAACACCTTCCCGCACAGGCCACATGGAAGGATGCCTGCCTCCCTCAGGCCCCCTGGAGACCCGAACATTGAGTCCAGCAGGTTGGCCTTCCTTGGGCGGCCCCGGCCTCGTTTGCCAGTCAGGGGAGGGGCACTGGATGCCACATTGGGGAATGGGGAAGTCAGCAGTTGGGGGGACAGGGGTCCAGCCACCATGGGCAAGCGGTCCACCCCAGGTAACACAGGCAAGGAGGCTTGGCTGGCAATGGCTGCCCCAGCTGCCCGAGCTGCCTCCTCCTCGGGCTGCATGCTGCCCGCAATGCCATTGCTGTTGGCTGCCAAGGCTGCCCCGTTGGTCATGTCCAAAGGGAAGCCCAAGTCTGAGGTCCCAGGGGGACGAAAGAGCATGATGTCAGCGCGGGCAGGGGGCACCAGGATCTGCACATTGGACTGTTTGATGACTTCCTGGCAGATCTCAATG